TTAGCATCCTGGAACCTCTCAGCCCCTCTGAGTGTTCTGGGTGACTGTGTTGCCAAATTACATTGTGGCATTGCCACACCCTTCTACAATAAATATATATGCACACATACATACAGTATACACACACACACACACACACATATATATGTAAAAACATTATTTGTTGTACCATAAAGTCCGACACTTTTTTTGTTCAGTTTGTATCTACATACTGGGATGTTGGTACACCTCCTTGTGGGTATTTTATGTAGCGTCCTTGCAGAATGAATCTTTGTATGTATCAGTAAAAACCTAAGGGCTCTAACCTTTCCCCCACTTTATCCAAGACAAGAAAAATGTTTTGCCTGGATAAACACATTAAATAGTTACACGTCAATGTATCCTGCACAGGAAATTGGAAAAGGGTACTTACCTTCTTGTGTAATCATCTATCCAATGGACATTGACATAAGGCCTCGTTAACCTCCGTAGATATCTTCATCCAGTTGCTTCAATTCACTAAGATTGTCTCTAACATGTGATCTGCGTCCCCCTTCTGGATATAAGCCATGAAGTCTACATACCCTTAAAGAAAACCAGTTACAACTGATCGGGCATTTGACAGGTCAGAGTCTGTCAAGACTTTAGGGGGCCTCTTACCTCTGAATGTAATCTATAATGCTGTCCACAAACTGAATAATGGGGCAAATCAAAATCTTTCACAAGTATGTCTGAGCAGTTAGGTAAGTAGGGGTGTCAGCGCTCTGTGGAGGCCACTAGAGTTCCTCCACACCAAAATGGTCAAACCATGTCTTGATGGAGCTGACTTTGTGCATAGTCATTCTGGAAGAGAAATGGGCCTTCCTCAAACTGTTATCACAAGGTTGTAAGCGCACAATTGTTTAAAATGTCTTTGAACGCTTTGGCATTAACAGGGCCCTTTACAATAAACACACCTGAACGCAGTCATTTTGGGTGTCCAATGACCCTATAGTGTATAATAAACCCAAATTACTGATGCTGAAAAGCCTTCACTGAATACAAATGGTATGGATAAGGGGCCTTTATGTTCCATTAAAATCACCACAACTGGCACAATCTTCTCTTTGATTTAGCCAATGAGCAGGTTTGGTGCACGTTTGGCAAATGGCTTTGTTCTTAGATAAGACAGTCTAAGATCTCAAAAATAAATTCAACACAATTGTAAACACGTCCAAATCTCATAAGTGCTTGATGGTGGTCTGCTGTTTTGAGCTGTAAGATACTACTCATTGCAAGAGATACTCAAATCTATAGCAAGCTTTGCATGCAGTAGCCCTCAATGTTCTTAGATGATTGTCTCAAACAGTTGATGTTGTCCATGGCAGTCAACCTGTTAATGCTTTCCTTCCTTCACAGGAGAATGAGATGCTGAAAAGAATATGATTATTTGCACTGGAAGCATGGACCGCCTGATAATCAGGCCCGATGTGTGTGAACACTGCAACTCCAGTACGCCGAATGGCAATAAACAGTAACACTTTACAGTGATCAGCCATTTTTATTATCAGAACAAGCACATTTCTGCCAAATGTGACTTCAGAACATCCAGTTGTCTGGAGATTCCATGCAGAAATCCTCCAGATCTCCTTAAGAGGAACAACCACTGTGACCAAACAGGAGCACCATGGATTGTACGTTGATGTGACTAATGGAACTGGTAGTTCTCAGTGGATTTTAGAAACAAGCTCTGTGTGTACCAAGCCTTGAAGTGTAACCAAACCCAAAAATGTCATACATTGCAGTTAACTAGTCCGTAGATGAGGTTACTGCATTCGTTTCCCTTCCTTTAGGCTTTTCACATGGTGATCCTGCAGATCACACATTCTGTCCCTTCATGGCTATGCTCATTTTTCTACTGCATCTATGGAGGGAGCCATGGTTGTCACACAGGCTGATCAAACGTCTGTCTTTGTTCTTCTCTGTGACATGGTAGGATGATTGGGTTAGTATTTAGCATAAAAAAAGAGAAGGGTGTTTGTACTTTTTTTCATCTCACAGGAAGTGACAGGAATGTTGCATTTCTGGCAAGCTAAGCAGGTATTTTCTGTACTTGCTAAAAATGTTCTTAGCCTGAAAAATGAAAACTAATTCAGCCACCACATCTAAGGACTGTTAAGCTGCCATATGCTGATTTGGGTGTCACCTTGTTAATGGGGGTTGATGTCCTCTGCCATCGGCCATTCCAGCATGGAGCGGCTCATACTTGGAGTTGGTAGAGTTTTGGCAAAAAAGTCAGGAAAAGTCAGGCCAAAAATAAAATGAAAATCGGGAAGGTGGAAACTATGCTTTTCTGTCCAATAAAGAGCATCTTGCTATGTCAGCACTCAGGCAGGATGAACACTTTTACGTTTCAGACTGGATAAGGTTTACTTTAATAACACAGCATTGTCTTATGTGCCGTGATGGTGAAAATGTTGCCATATTATATGTAAGGTAAGATTCTTCTTGGCTTAAAGTGTATATACAGTATACTGCATAGCCAAAACCTTTCTTTTCAGTTTTGGATAGAGTAGGGAAAGGTTAAAAACCCTGTTTATTGTTCGTTGTGTCCTGTGGAGGAAATTTTCCTTCACTTCCTGTCCCAAAGACAAAAAGAGAGCAACCCCCTCTTAGATAATGGTCAGGTGTCCCCATTGGAACTTTTCCTTTATTTGGGTTCTGATGACAACTGCAACTTTTTGGATTTTCCCTCACAATGGTTACCAGGAAAAATAGAGCACACAACCCCCAGCGAGGGCACAGACAGCAGTAAAATTTGGTAAGGGGTCTAAGGCTTCCCGATTAAATTGAACAAAAGAAAAAAAAAAGTTTGGTTATACATATCCTTCAACTTAAATTATACACTGTCTGGTCAAAAATAAGTCACACACTCCTAATATTTAGTTGGACTGCCTTTCACTTTGATTACAGCACACATTCGCTGTGGCATCCTTTTAATAAGCTTATTCAATGTCACATTTATTTCCGTCCAGAGTTGCATACACGTTTTCACCAAGATCTTGTAGTGATGATGGGAGAGTCGGACCACTGCGTAAAGTCTTCTCCAGCACATCCCAAAGATTCTCAATGGGGTTAAGGTCTGGACACGGTGGTGGCCAATCCATATGTGAAAATTATATCACATACTCCCTGAAACTCTTCCATAATTTGAGCCCAATAAATCCTGACATTGTCATCTTGGAACATGCCTGATGTGCCATCGGGGAAGAAAAAACCCATTGATTGAGAAATCTGGTCATTCAGTATATTCAGCTAGGCAGCTGACCTACTTTTTTGGGACCATAACACTGCTGAACCTAGACCTATCATCCAATGGAAGGCTCTGACCTGTTTGCTTAATTAATTCTAGGTGGTAACATTTTTTTTTCTGGTCAGGTAGTGTATTAGGATAATGTTTCAAAAACCTTGAGTGCGGTTTTTATTTATATAACTTATGTATCAGGGAAACCAAATTTATTTTTAAACACACATGCTGCACTTCCAGTTTGGTAGCACAGCAAGATTGTATTGCCTGACCTGTCTTGTTTTATTATACATTCAGGGCCGGCTCTGCCAGTATAATTTCATGGATGCTGGAAGGGCAAAAGCAATTTATCAAAACTTTGGAGGAAAATATTGAGTTAGGTTTTTGGATAACATCTTCCTTTGTAGCGGTTTTGTTAAACTGATCTCAGAATTACAATATAGTCCTGCACTGAGGGCCCATTTAGACAGCGTCTATTTACAAACAATTTGCAGGGCCATTTGTCCTGTGAACATTCATTCTTTGCAAATGGAGGCAAAAACAAACAATTTGCAAAGCCATTGATCCTGCGAAACTCTGTGAACGTTCTTGTGTTTGAATGAAGGTAAAAATGAATGTGCTTTGTGTATTTTCAAGTCCTATGTAATATTAGGAAAATACCGCATTATGGGCACTAGATGGAGCTGAGGAGCATAGGAAATAACTTTATTTTCTATGCTCCTCAGCTCCATCTATTGGTCGTTATTCAGTACTTTCCTAATATTACATAGGACTCGAAAATTTACAAAAGAACATTCATTTTTGCCTTCAAGGAAAGTTCACAGAGTTTTGCAGGATGAATGGCTTTGCACATTGTTTATAAATAGATCCCTATGTGTTAATGCAATGAGTTATTGTGCATTAAGGCAGCTCATTATTTTGATTGGGAAAGCAGCATACCTTAATGCAGTAAAAAAAGACCTGCCACTTTTTTCTTAACACAACGTACCACAACACAGATGTACATTATGCTGAAATGTGGATGATACTGTAACGAAGCATTGATTTGACATCCAATCAATGGCACCACACTTGAATTGATGCTTTACCACATGCATATTACCGTACTGTGTAAGTGTGAATGGGCCCTGATTGACACAGTCACTAGAAGATAACTCTGCAAAACTGTATATAAAATACTATGACGATATGGCCATCCTAAAAGGCATAAAAAAATAAAGTAAAAACATATTTTCAGGCAACCGCTACAATAAAAATAAAAAAACTTATTCAGAAGTACACATCAGTTATATTTCAGGCTATACACAACAAATCCATTTTCTTAAAGTGTATTTTGACTTCATAGAAAACAGCAGTGGTAAAAAGCCTATTTTATTACAAGTTGGAAGAGAGGGCGGAAAAAAAAAACTATATACAAAATAAAAAAAAGCACATACATACATATTTATACAGAAAAAAAAAAAAAACAAAGAAGGGAGCCCGGTGTGCAGATGCAAGGGGCTTCTCTTGTCATTGGAAATAGTGCATTGTCTACAGAACAGACTCTCCACAGTGCAGAGGGATATCACAAGCCACAGAATCTCTCCCCACTTCCCAAACCGTCTACTAGAGGTCTCACTTTCCGCCAGGGCCTTTAAAACGGGAGAGCCATTTAGACAGCATGCGTGGTTTTTAGGGACGGGGTCGCCACAAACCCCTTTTTCGTTGTTAGGACTCAATCCTTAATAGTGTCGTTACTGGCAGCAGTTTCTCCGCACCCGAATGCCAAGTACCCCCGCTCCTTGGGCGGTACTCTGAGCAGAGGGGGAGGTTTAACAGTAGTGGTAGAGACCCTAGCAGTTTTTGGCATCTGTGCACAACGTTAAAGGCCCATTGGGAAGTTTAAAGCATTGTCGTGTGGATCTGTAAGGCCTGAAATAAACAAAAACAAGTCTTAAAGTTAAAAGTAAACATTTGTAGGTATAAATATCACAATGCCAATTGAGAGTATGCAGTAACTAGGCAGGCCAGGAAGGTTTTAAAAGGTTTTGATTGTCAAGCAAGGCTAAAAAAAATCTTGTAAACTGTATGTAACTGAGAAGAATTAGTATGTCAGGTGTGAATGCTGGATGGAAGCAGCAAAGTTGAAGTATTTCGCTTCACTGTGCTTCACAGCCTCACTGTATCCCAGAATGAGCTTATGGCGCATTTCAGAGACCCTGTCACATGAGTAAAAATTATGAAGCACACAACTATAAAGAAGAAACAGACGACTTACCTTTCCTGCTGCCTGCGCTGCTAAGCTAAGCTCCATTTGTGAGAAGTCCACTGGGAAACTAACCCTTCCTGGAGTGTCAATCTCCTGGGCCCACTATAGTTTTCACAGGTTTCTTCTGCAGGCTTCCACATGACTGCAGTACAAAATATAGACATGGGGTTGTGGATAGGGACAAGTGAGAACCCAATGGAACCAGGACACTCTTGGAAATCAATCTGGGAAGGGTTTCCCAGTGGAATTTTGACAAATCTTTTTTTATGAGCGAGATGGAGTTTAGCAGAGAAGGCAGTGGTAAAGTGATTCTGTTTCTTCTTTACAGATATGTACAGTGGTACCTCGGTTAATGAACTTAATTTGTTCCACGATTCTGGTTGCGAACCGAATCGGTCGCGAACCAAATCACATTTCCCCATAAGGTTCAATGTAAATAAGGTTAATCCGTTCTGACCCCTACAAACGTGGTCGCGAACCAATTTTAGCCGCGGACAGAATAAAATTTCCCCATAAGGTTCAATGTAAATCAGGTAATCTGTTCTGACCCCTACGAACGTGGTCGTGAACCGATTTTGGTTGCGAACAGAATCAAATTTCTCCATAGGGTTTAATGTAAATGAGGTTAATCCGTTCTGAACCATATGTAAATTCATTACCACTCTGCACTTTACCACCATGCTTGCTCTGCACTTTCTTTGGAGCCATGCTGGATTGAATAATACTGTACAGTACTGTATGTGCTAGAAAGCACACAAAAAAGCTTCACAGCAAGTGTGCACAGGTCTGTCTGTGACCGCAATCTCAACTAGAGGAAGCCACGACCACGTGTCAGAGCGAGGTAGATGGCCGCGGTCGTGTTCGTCACCCGATTTGGAGTTCGTGAACAGAAGCAAAATTTTGCTGAACTTGCTGTTCACGAGCCAAATTGTTCGAGAACAGAAGCGTTCGTGAACCGAGGTATTACTGTACTTGCTTGATGCCTTCTACTTGTGTAACAGGGTCACTTTTAGCATGGTGTTCAGTCCTATAGATTTTCTAAGGTCTATCTTAAATAGAGGGGTGCTGTCAAAAAGCACGGATATCAAGCACTGACAAATTCTTCTTTAAAATGCACAGTAGTTCTGAAGGATCTCTCTCTCTCTCTCTCCATACACACACACACACACACACACACACACGTATGTATGTATGTATGCATGTATGTATACATATATACATACATACACAGTATATTTACATGATGTACTTCCTACTTTGCTGCACAGTATATGTGCTCTACTGTTTCTAAGAACTGCCTATAAATTTATACTCCACACTCCAAAGACATGCTGGACCGTTAATTGGCTCCTGTCTAAATTGGCCCTCATATGCATGTGAGATAGGGACCTTAGATTGTAAGCTCCTTGAGGGCAGGGCCTGATGTGAATGTGCCACTATGTAAAGCGCTGCATAAATTGTCGGTGCTATATAAATGCCTGTAATAAATACTCTAGGTGGTTGATTCAGTAACTGATGCTCTACAAATAGGCCCATAGCAAAGTGATGCGATCAACTGGAATGGATGTGACTGAGGCGCTGGATACAACTTGCCAATCAAGAATGGTTGAATAAGGTAAATTAAATTCAGTATAAGGCACAGTTGCTCTATTGAGGCTGTCCTCTGCACCAACGGGGTACTCCTTAGATAGAAGGCCCACAAGTTGGGAATCCACATGTTAAAAAAAAATGATAATAAAACATTGCCCATGCACAAAGGGGTTTAACATGGCACAAACACCAAAATACCAAAATACATTTTTCAGGAGAACAATTGCTCGGGAAAAAAAAAAGAATGTTTTCTTTTCTCCTGAGAACTTTTTATCTCAAAAAGATATATTTTGGTGATTACGTCATCTTGAGTTCCCCTGAGCATAGACAACATTTGAGCTCTGAAGAAGGGGGAGCTAGCTGTGCCCCTGAAACACATTGGCTGTTTTGTGTTGAATTGTTGTGAATGGACTTCATCATTAAAAGGTTTTGGACTCTTAGATGTTTGGTCTGGTTCTCTCCTTGGACTTTTTTTTAAAGCAAAGTGATAACAACCCTTCCTTACATTAATGTGTTATGGACAAAAGTATGTGGACACCTGACCGTCTCACCTATCTATATAGTCATCTGTATGTGGACACCTGACCGTCTCACCTATCTATATAGTCATATGTATGTGGACACCTCCACAAATGATTGAGTTTAGGTGTTTCCAATGAAGGGTACTGCTAATGCTACAGAATACAAAAGACATTTTGGGTAATTATGCACTTCCAAACATCACTGTGCCCCAATACAACACAAAGCTAGGGCCCTTAAAAGGAGAACTATGGGGTCAGGGCTTTTCCCCATAGTTCTCCTTAGGGTAACGGGAGGACACAAACTAGCGTCCTCCTGTTACCCTAAGCTCAGTATACCGTGAGCTACAGCTCACGGTATACTGAGACGCCGCAGCCGGAGCGGATCCCGACATCGATGTCAAGATCCGCCCAGCTGCGTGAGTGACAGCTGGCTCTGCCTATCTAGAGGCAGAACCAGCTGTACCTGCCCCCTCCCCCGTCCGATCCGCCAGTCAGCGCTGGTGGATCGGAGCAGGGAGGGGGGAATCTAGCCCCTCCCCTGTCACGGCAGAGAGCCGTGACAGGATCGAGAGGTGAGCGAATGCTGGTATATGTTTGGTCACCTCCCGATCTACTGAGCCGACCTGTGGCAGTCTCATTGTCACAGGTCGGCTAGAACTATGAGGTGAGTGAGAAGCACTCACCTCATAGTTCTCCTTTAAGAAATTATGTGGTCGCTCTAGTGTGGAGGAACTTGAGTGACCTGCACAGAGTCCTGTCCTCAACCCAATTGCTAGCCAAATCTTTTCATCCAAAATAAATACCTAACCGCAGAAATGCTCTTTTGGCTGAATGGGCACAAATTCCGACAGACACACTCCAAAATCCTGTGAAAAGCCTTCCCAGAAAAGTGGAGGCTGTTATAGCTTCAAAGGTGCGCCACTCCATATCAATGCCAATGGTTTTGGAATAGGATGTCCAACAAGCGCAAATAGTTGTGATGGGCATGTGTCTACTAATTTTTAGCCATATAGTATATGCGACTTCAAGCATGTAAAATGTGCATAAAAATGTGCTTCTATAAAACTGCTACCGGTACGTGAAATCAGTATCAGTTACCTGTTAAGGGGACCTGTCAGAATTGAAAAATGGGAGATGCCAACATGCTCTGGAGTGGTCATAATTTATATTAGCTTCCCTGCTTAGTGAGTCACTGATTACACATACATGGTTTAGATGCGTCTTATTCTTCATATGCCCTAATAAAGCAGGGGGGTTTTTCTTGAGTGCCTATGCAGAAAGGTTGTCCATGAGCCAAACCATGTGATTCTACATTGGACTGGAGCGCCACCTAGCATAGGCCACTCCTTCTGGACAGAGTCAGTTGCTGATCTGAAGGATATAAAAGGAAGTTAGAGGTAGCTTGGGGGGTCTGTTAAGTTTCAGTTAGTTATAAGTACAACTGTCCTTTAAAAGAAACCTGTGAAATATGGGGGATGCCTCTGCTAATGTGACCATGCATCTATGGTTTTAATGGTTTCTAGGTCCCTGACTTCTGGACTCCTGACTTCACTTACTGTATGCTTGTTCTGGATCAGGGCTTGTAAATCTCCCTGCACTAAAGACAATAAAAATGATGGTGGTTACTGATAAAACCCTTGCATCCTACCTGTCCTATGAGAAACATATAGCACTTACTGTCTCGATGGATTGACACAGACACACTGTTCTTCACAAAGAAGAGAGAATTGCTATGGACACTGGACCCATGATGCATCTCAGGCTGCTTGTCATCCTCCATTGGTTCAGGCTCTTGAGACACATCTTCTGGAGGTTTCCTCCTCAAAGACCTTAAGAGCTCCTGATGTGCTGACTCCACCTCCTAAAACAGAATGGAAACAAGTGACTATTTTGGTGGACATGCACAGCAAATCTGAAAAAAAATAAACATCTCTCCTTGAAGTGCCCTTGACAACTTTGGTTCTCTTTAAAATTAAAGTTTATTTGATCAGTCACTGTTGGGTTTATTCAGGAATCCTTGGTAGTAAATTATTACAGCTATATATGCTTAGATATAAATGAGCGGTTTTTCCTTATTATACCTACTTGTTTAAGCCTGACACTTGCTTGAGTCTCAGAGGTCACCTGAAGTCTGACCCATCATCTGCCGGAGCTCACACACTGTCTTCTAACCATGTTTACCATACCCAGTATATACAGTATAATACAAATTGCCAGTGCTTCACCTCCTTTAAACTCAAAAATGCTTTAATTACCCACATACATCGGGAATCATTTCCCTACTTTACAATACTATATCACCAATAACTCATCATCCACTACTCATAATGTTAGTAAATGGAACAAGACCTTAGTGTGAGTCTTGGAGAAGAAGTGTGATCTGGAATACAACTAAAACACAAAAATTCCCCACACTGAAAACAATTTACAAACCTTTTATTAATGGTACTTAGTACCTATGTGTATTGCTAATTTTGTTCCAAGAAATTTACGCTAGTGTTTTACAGGTTGTAAAGATGCTTGTTTATTCTTCTACACTTGCTGGACTTGTGCAATAACTAAAAGACTCTGGATTAGAGTATATCAAAGGGTACATACTAGGGATGCACTGAAATTGAATTTTGAGACAGAAACCAAAACTAAAAAATTTGTCAGGCCGAAACCGACTTTTTTCCCCCAATTGTTTAAAATGTAAAAACTTTTTTTATTTTACTGCTGGTGGCTCTAGGGAAATATTAGGGGTCTAAAGAGAACCCCTGATATTTCCCTTTTAAAATACAGCACCGCCCCCTGTGACAGATCACAGCGCTCTCCTCCGCTCTCCATCCTGACACAGGAGGCGGAGCTCTCCTCACACACCTCGCGAATCAACCTCCTGTGACAGGATGGAGAATGGTGAGTGGCGTCACCGCCCCGCACCGCTCTCCATCCTGACACAGGAGGTAGAGCCGCGAGGAGAGCTCGGCCTCCTGCAACGATCACCGCTCAGCATCCTGAAAGCTTCTCTCCTTCCCGCAGGGCATCGGCGCTGCATCGGAAGGTACACAGACCGACGCCCAGTGGGGAGAAGAGAAGCTAGGGATACACTGACTTTTCGACCGTCATGGCACTTTTGGCATGAGCCGAAAATCCGGTGCATCCCTAGTACATACTACTTTTGAATGAACTTTACACAAAAATCCTAGCAAATGCTAAAGGAAAAACCTGAACGAATCACACATCAACATAAACTGCTCATACATACTATATATCTCCTAGAACCAAATAAGTCATTGCAAGCAAGTAATAAGTCATGGAAAACAAATACGCTTCAGTTTGCAGACTTAAAGACATGCATATCGTGGACAATGATAAATGAAAAATTGATTGCAAACATTAAATGATACCATGCCTAATTTTGTTTAGAAATATTAAGCGCCTCCTAATTTAGATGTTTGCCTTCTTACTATAGTTTAGGTGTTTCCAATCAATTTTCTCCTCTGTATAAACTCAAGAAAAAGACAGGTTTAATGGCTATAAAAAATGTGAGTAGCTCAGTGCGTAATATACCACGGTGGTTGACGGTAGCCGTGGTTCAAAGAAGACTAGAAAAACTTAACGCGAATAAATCGTTAGGACCAGATAACCTGCACCCAAGGGTACTTAAGGAGCTCAGCCAGGTTATAGCAAGTCCATTATTCCTCATTTATAAGGACTCCATACTGACTGGAAGAGTACCAAGTGATTGGCATAAAGCTACGGTAGTACCAATATTCAAAGAAGGTTCAAGATGTCAACCTGGGAACTACAGACCAGTCAGTCTAACATCTAAGGTATGCAAGCGGTTTGAGGGAATGATAAAGGACTATTTAGTGGATTTTGTTCATGGCAATGGTATAATAGTGATTATCAGCACAGATTTATGAATGACCATTCTTGACAGAACAGCCTACTAACATTCTACGAGGAGGTGAGTAGAGATCTGAATGGAGGAAGGCTGGTGGATGTGGTGTACCTGGATTTTGCAAAAGCATTTTGACACGGTACCAAATAAACGCTTAGTACACAAGCTGAGGTCTATGGGCACAGATGAAATGGTGTGTACGTGGATAATGAAATGGCTACAGGAACGTGTACAGAAAGTATCAGCAAATGGCTCTTTTTCAAATTGGTCTAAGGTCGAGAGTGGCATGCCCCAGAGCTCTGTGCTAGGCCCAATACCGTTTAACCTGTTTATTAACGATATTGGAGAAGGTGTTAATAGCCATGTTTCTGTGTTTGCTGATGACACTAAAATTGGGAGGGTAATAGACACGGGGTTAGACATTATAACATTACAGGAGGACCTGGATAAAATAGGGGAGTGGGCAACTACATGGCAGATGAGGTTTACTGCAGAAAAATGAAAATGAATGCATTTTGGGGTTAAAAATAGGCAAGCAGGATACACATTAATGGGTACTCCACTAGGGAAGCCAGAAATGGAAAAAGATTTGGGTGACATAGTCGACTACAGATTGAACAATAGCATGCAATGCCAGGCTGCAGCTAGCAAAGTACTGTCATGCAAAAAAGGCAATGTACGGTAGAGACAAAGCAATAGTTTTCCCAATTTATAGATCACTGGTTCTGCCTCATCTTGAGTATGCGGTTCAATTTTGGTCACCAATCCACAGAAAAGATGTCCTTGAGCTGGAGAGAGTGCAGAGAAGGGCAACAAAACTAATTAAGGGGCTGGAGGATCAAGGCAATGAGACAAGGTTGCTAAATTGAAATATGTTCACTGTAGAAGTGAGGCGATTAAGAGGGGACATGATCTTGATGTACAAATTGTTTAATGGTGATACTTAGGGAGGCACAGATACCGATACTAGTATCGGTGCCAAGTATTTGGGCGAGTACTCAAATGCTCCGATGCCTTCCTGATTACACAGAGCCCGGCTTCCTGATTGGCCAGCTTCCCCAACCATCAGGAAGCCGGGCAGGGAGTCATTACACGCGGCCTGGCTTCCTGATTGGCCAGCTCCATGCTCCCTTGTGAAGAGGGAGCATGGAGCCGGCTTCCCGGCCAATCAGGAAGCCGGGCAGCATGTAATGACTCGCTGCCCGGCTTCCTGATTCGCGGGGAAGCTGGCCAATCAGGAAGCCGGGCGCCTTGTAATGACGCGGCCCCCCAGCTTTGATTGGCCGGGAAGCCGGCTCCATGCTCCCTCGTCCCTCACAGGTTGACAAACAGCAGCAAGATATATACTAGTTTTGGTTAACCAAAACCTTCAAAAGGTTGGAAGAAAAATGTTATTTAATTTATTCTAAAGCATTTCACCACAATTTACACAAAATCAAAGCTCAAGGCTCTTACCTGTAACCTTTGTAATTTGGCTGTTAGCTGTTCGATCGTTTGGAAGATCATATCAACATCTTGAATGACCAGGTTTGGAGCCAAATCAGAGTGCAACACATCACTTTCTGAGCTTTGTGCTGGGGGGCTGCTAGTATCTGACGAGCAAGCCTGGATCTTGTGTATTTCCCGGGATTTGGGCAAAGATGGACTTCCCATCGGTTGTATGCATTCCCTAGATTCTTGAGTTTCTCTAGGCCGCTCTTCTTCAGGTGGAGGTAATGCAGAAACAGTTGGCATGACCACATAAAATAAATTTCCTAGTATGCAGGATGAAGAAAGGACCAGGTAAGAAACTTGTAGTGGAACACTATTTTGGTGATTAAACACATGCAACAACCATTTAGTATTGCAAGACTGGGACTTCTGGCAGAAAGAGGCAATGATATATAACAGGATGGGAGAAATTTTGATGCCATCTCAATTCATCTCTCAGCAAATCGTGGTGAGTGTTCAAAACAGTAAATTAGCAGATTAGGTTGGTCTTAACTACTTGTGCATTCCAAAAGTTAATATGGTAGAAAAATGAAGTTAGGAGGCCTACAAGACAAGATCTCAGAAGTGATGTAATAAGAATAAATGCCAAAGCCAGATGAGCAGATCATGAGGCATCACCCTTGAAAAGGACACACATTAATGAAGAACATTTACATTTGTTTGAGCTGGCCAGAGAGCCCAAGTCAAAAAAATTCAATATTTTCAGGAAAACCAATTAGAAGGTGGATGATGTGCTCCAGAATGGCAAACAGACCAACTATTTGCATGCGGTTTTGGAGGAAACATGACTATTTGTAATGGTGTGGTGGAAGTGAACTAATGGGTGGGATATGCACGCACGTACTAGTACTATTACTGAAGATTGTGCCGATTCAGCATGTCCGATCTCTGTTGCTAAGAACCATAATATAACACATGCAATACATGGTGACAAAAGTATCAACACATGTTTCCTTTGAATTCATTGGCATTTAGTCCACATTTACTAATTGATAGAGAACCAGAATTTGAACTTGTGCATGCAGTTAGCACAAACCAAAGTATTGAGACACCTGTTTATGAAACAGGTGTCTTTCAAATGGCCATAGACACAGTCTCGATAATTAACATAACAAGAGAATGTTACAGTCAACATTGTCAATTAAAATAATTCATACACTAGCTTGCTTGTTTCAGATAAAAATACTATATGGCTAAACTTTTGTGGACAATATAAGCTTTACTGCAAAAACCTCAACTGAATAATTTTAAAGGGTCTCCACCTACCTTTGGTCATACTATGTAGGTGTGATGGTCAGTTGTCCACTAACTTTTAATATCTTCTGCACATAATTACATTCCATGAATGACACTGGCCTCTTGTTAGGCTTAGGAGCTTAGTTTAACAGTATCCAGGTTGATAGCATATTAATGTTCAACCCTAACTTGTAAGACCCTCTCTTTGCCTGGGTCATCACTGAAGAATTTGCTAGCCCGACTACTAGCTCTGCAGCCATGAGTCTAGCTACCCCAACTCTATTAACAAGGCAAGTCCTACCACAGGGTCAAAGTCGAGATAACAAGATGGGCCTTTTAATGTCTTCATAATATAAAACTAATGTTCAGTTATAAACAACCTCACTTCACTAGACCCACTGTATCATTTTTAAAACATTCTTCTGTATATACTAACGCTTCATCAATTTACAGCTTATTGACCATTTGAAAAAATATTACTACTCAAAATTTGGGTGGAGCAAACTACACCAAAAATGTATAAAAGAACCAAAAACCAAAATAAAAAAAGAACCAAGTAAACCAAGCCAGCAACTGCCTACTAATTTTAAGTGCAGACCACGTGACTGCTAGTACAGATGTAGAAAACTTGCATATTTAAATGAAGATTGAGAAATGAGCACGTCTGGTATGTTTTAGCAGAAAATAAGTAAAACGTCCCTCAAAGACCCTAAACATTGGTAACAATTGGGGCTTTTATTACAAAAGAAGCATTTTGTGAAATAACCGTATGAGCATACCATTAAAACATTTTTTTTTTTTCTTTTGTCATTTAAAGAAACTACGCTCAATTATGGTCACCATAATTGAGCAAGAGACTCTGGTTTCCAAAGCAGAAGCATCCAAAATTTATACAAAAAACACAAAATGGTCATTGCCTTTACTGCGAATCTGGTCTTTAAAGCGGTCCTTGCACTTCCATACATAGTTAGCAGTCCTGCACCCCAATGACAAAACAGTAAAGCAATAAAAAAATAAAAATAAAAAAAAAACTAAGAGAAAAACAAAAAATACTCACCCTACTCCTCGGGTTCTGGCCACTTCCTGCATCCTATTACTGATGTCACTGGACATCACAGTGGGATCTTGAGAAAGCGAGGACCACAAATATCGCAGGAAGACACTCTAGCACAGCGCAGGAGTGCATTCTTATTGCTTTAATATTGTGTTTTGTAATGAGGGGTGCGGGGCTGCCACATAATTAGATCTAGTATTTTAGTGCAAGGTCCTCTTCAATGATAAACGAAAAATTCAAAAGAAAAAAAAATTATGCCCAAAAAACATATGAACCAATTCCGATAAAGTCATCTAAACAACTGTCCACCTTTTGTTTAAATTTTAAAAGAAAATCAGATTGTCCAAACTGATAAAACAATACTACCATCAAAATGATGGTTAAAAACGAATTGAGGGAAGTTTTACATGTATTTTTAAATTAATATATATATTTTAGCAAAGATTGTATTTTTCCAGAATTAACTTTAGGGTGCAAAGGGTGATGCCCAAGTATGCTAAGAGTGATGGCAAGAGGATAGACAGCAATGCATCATCTCGGTAACTATATCCGCCTCGTCTCCTGGCCATTCTTACAACTCAAAAAGAATTACCATCTAAAACTGTTCCGCCACCAGCTTCCTGCAACACTCTGTCTGATTGGCTGCTGTCTGGCAACGGTATGACATCATTATTGCCCACCACCTCAGCTGTGCAGAAGACACCAGAAAAAAGAGAAAATAAAATAAAAAAAGAACACAAAGTAAAAAAAAGAAGAAAAAAAGGAAGGGGGAATATGGTGGAAAGAAAAAACAAAAATAAAATTTAGAAGATAAAACAGAAAATCAGCTGAAAGAACGTTAGTGTGCACATTTGATTGATAACTCGGAGGAAGAATAATTCACTGTTGGTGAAATAAGGAGATCAATAAAGTCATGACTAACCAGTTAAAGTCAGTAATGAGACACACATTCACCACAATTTAATGTAACTACTGTTTGTATATTGCAAGATAGCTCTTATTTAATAACAATTATTTTTCGGTTATTTAATCAAAGCAGAAAAGGTAGTAGTTCACTCCCTCTTTATTATTTGGCACCGTTGTGATTGAAATTTCAAATATGACATACAGGTGAAACTCGAATAATTAGAATATCGTGCAAAAGTAATTGCAGTAAGTGGTGCAAAAGGGGCCCAAACCAAGTACTGAGTACATATGCATGCTTGTACTTTTCAGAGGTCCGATATTGTTCTATGTACAATCCTTGTTTTATTGATTGCATGTAATAATCTACTTTTTTGCGGTTGTGGATTTGGGGTTCTTGGGGTTTTCATGAGCTGTAAGCCATAATCATCACAATTATGACAAATCACAGCTTTAATTATCTTGCTTTGCATGTAATGAGTCTATCTCATATATTAGTTCCACCTTTTAAGTTGCATTAGTGAAATAAATGAACTTTGCACGATATTCTAATTATTCGAGTTTCACCTGTAGATGTCCATTCACACTATTGGAACATTCTACTTTTTCTATGAGGGAAACCTGAATCAGTTTCATGCGGGAATGGTATGGTCCACAGAATAATGGGAAAAGAATTAAGACCGGGAGGTAGCAAATAAGTATCATAAACAAGGAGAGTCAGAGACCAGAAACAAAAGAGAGCATGGGAAAGATAGAGGGGAATTAAGGGATGCAATAAATTAAAGGCTACGGGAATAAGGAGGAACTTGTACGAACTAGGAGAAACAAGGAATAGGAGGCACTAGGAAAAAAGGAAAAGCCACAAGACTACAGGGTCCAAAGGATAAATAAAATGGTATATCAAAAGGTCAAAATGTATCTATTTATAAACCTGTCCAATGCCATTTATTTGCCAATTTTACCCATATTTTGAAAATTAACCAAAAAAAATTGGAAACAGCAGAAGACAAGATTGTTTCCCACTATTTTTATGCTGCTCCTCAACACTGCGACTTCTGAAGCCTATTAATATAAAGTCCAAAACATTTTTATTTTTTTTGGGATAGATTGTAGAAGGGGTATGATTCTGTTGTGATCCCACTAGGAACATATACTCTCTGTATTTTTTACTGGTGACCATGGTCACCGAGACTGAAAGTGAGGGAATAGCCAAAATTATATCAATGAAAAAATATTAAAAGGGAGCATTTGTTGAGGTGTCCGCGAAGGTTCTCATTCATCCAGGTCATGGTACATCTCTAAAAAGATAAATCAAGGCAACTGAAGATGTTTCACTGGTCATCTAATTAACTTTCTCAATTCAACTCTCAGAGGATTCCCCTCACTTTGGAGGTATTTCCTCTTGCTTTCAGTTGAGTCTATGGGACAGGATGCAAAGGGAAAACTCTTCAATGGGATACAGAGAGGAAGAAAATCCTGATGGGAAGTTTCGCTTTAGAAACCTTGATTGTAGATGAAGTGGGCATTGTTTTCAGAGGAAATATGGGGAAGTGTGGAACAACAGAAAACAAATTTTCACTAATCTTTATCAATAGACTACCTTTACATCCCAAACAGTACAGTGTCTCTATATTAATCACAAATGAGCATATTGTGTCTTGAATAACTACAGAGATTAATGTTGTTAAACAGAAGGCAAAATAATTCAATGTTCCCAACAATCAATAAGAGCAGATAATCAAGTCACCTATGAAAGTAATAGCTAAAAATCTTGAGTAGAGACCACTTTTTTGGCCTTCTTCCGTGCTGGATAATTGCAGAACATCTGACCTGCTCTCTAAATAGTCTTCTGACGGACCAGTAATCAAGGACAGTCTAGTTTAACATCTAGCTATCTGCTATATCTGTGGGTGCAGTGCTTCTCAACTTTATTACAGTATGTACTCCCTTATAAATTTCTGCAGTTACCACCTGGAATGGGTCAAGTTTCCTCAGGTAAACGCTGCCACATGTTAGTTATTGCCATTATGCCCAAATTGTTTTACTACAATACTTATTTATTTTTGTATGCTTAAATAGATCAGTTTAATAAGATATTTACTTAATTCTATGTTTACACATTAACAGTAAATTAATCAAAAACCCAACTTGTGTCTGTAACCTTCAGGGTAAAGTAACAGCTTAGCTGGGTATGCTGCCCCTTCTGCTGCTAATAATTAATTTACATTTGATTACCTGATGCCCTGTTCATTTACTGTAGCCCCAAAATCCATGTGTTAGCTGTGAGTCAGCTCTGATTTGGAGCTTCCACCGGTTAAAGGCCCTTCCCTTTTCCCTACCACTTAGACCACTTGGCCACACAGGCACCCAAAGCAGTAAAATTCTATGGGAAGAGAGTCAAATGTCCAACCAGAAGAAGCCCCTGAGCCTGTCAATGTACCCCTTGCTATCCAAATAGAATTGCTTGGGAGCATCTATGCTAAAGGTTATCAAAAGCAACTATACTCCCTAGTAATCTGCTTATTAGAGTTTTTGAACAATCATCTGCATGTCCTCTAAATATGCAACTCTACTTGTAAACAGAAAAACTCCTTGAGCAGAGATGTAGAATTTACCTCTTGTGTGTAGTAACATTATTAAAGCCCTATCTGCCAAACAGAAATATGAGCATGTAACAGATCCTCAATGAATGGTGTGTATATGGATTTACAGGTTGTTTAAAAAATGGGGCACAAATTAATGAGCAACACGCAGTGGAATTATGGGAAGCAGTGACACAAATCTGTATTTTTTTGACACTATATATCACCCTCTCAACTTTCTTACCTCAGAGGAACCTTTGAAATCATTTTTAGGTCTCAGGTCTTTGGGAACTTGGAAACTCCCACTACAAATGATGAAACCTACAGCTTACAGAACATTAGCATGACCAATAGGTGTTCAAATTAAAGAATAAAGAATTAGGCCTACTTATTTCCATGCTTATATAAGAAAATGATCATTAGTAATATTATAATAATCGTCAGAAAAGACAGTGAAAATTGTGGTCAGTGTAAAAATTATCCCTTACATGGGTGGTCTCTGTAGAAGTGACCCCTTACACTGATGGTCAGTGCAGGCAGAAGATCAGTCTGCTACTGCACTCTCCTTAAGGAACCCCTAGCAAAAGGCTGCTCTAAATTCTCTTTACAGTCCTTGAAATATTTAGAATAAATGTAGCACAAAAATGAACACAGAAAATTACAAAACGATGAAGCATCTAAACAGTCTTAATCCCTTTCAAAGACTTCATTGTTTCAAATAACGGTTTGGCAGATCCTGCACAAAGGTTGGCTAGCAGACTAAAAGTCAAGTGAATAAAGAATGAAGCTAAAAGACCCTAATGTTTCCCTACCTTTCCTGACAACCTTGTAGGCCGTGTTAGTTTGGTCCTCAGCAGCTTCAGATGGCTCAGAGGGCAGGAAAGATGTCCTTTGTGGGTGGCTCTCTAGCAGGTCCCAAACACTTTCCTCTCCTTCGTTGGATGTTCTCCTGTGCTGGTTAGTGAGGTCCACCACAGACCTACCATTTCCTAAAACACTAGAAGGTCTTGAGGGCGGATCTTCCCTGTGATCAGCCAAACTGTTTCCATCTAGAGTCTCTAATACTGAATATGGTGTTGTCTCCCACGGATGCCCGGCCCCACCGGTGACTGATGGCGTGGGTGTGATATCATCCTCTGGCTCAGTCACAGGAGCAGCATCATACTCTGAATGCCTTAATGGGTAAAGACTCCGCAGGATCAGCTCCCGGAGATGCTGGACTGAAGAAAGACACACATTATATTACAAAGTCATCAACAGGAATGATATGCAAAATATTTGTTTGGTATATAATGGTATACAATCTTAAAGAATGAAGAGTGCAGCAACCAAATTTCAAAATCAAAATCAGATTGAAATAGTCCCTGACAATATACTTTCAAGAGTTTAAATTAAAGCTTGTTTTGATGAACAGTGAATATCAATAAAGCAGCACAATATTAAAAAGCATATAAGAGCAGAAGAACATCATAATTTTGCTTTTATATACTGCACGATTAGGTACAATGTAGCTGGAGCCTAAAGCATTCTCATATTCCTTGCCTGACCTTGTTGCCACTTACTTTTCTTTACAGCCTGTAGTGTCTACTCCTATATTGTAATCTCACATTTGGCCAATCAGGAAGGAGTTAAAAACTATGGAGTTGATTTACCATAGGAGCGCAGCATGTTTTTTACTTCGCTTAGTGTATGAGGTGAAGCGTCGTATACATTCACTTTTCAAAGAATATCCAATCATATCCAAGTAAAATTTTAAAAAAGGATTTACGCTTACACTTGATTGAATGATTGATTGATTGATTGATTGAATGATTGAAGACAGCACAGCTTCAACTCATTCACTAAGTTAAGTGATAATTCATGGTGCAAGCTGAAAATCAGATAACTGGGGGTTGATTTACCAAAGGAAAATAGGCTGCTCACCAGTTGTGCATGTGCTATCAAGGCAGCAGAGAAAAATGGCTGCCAATCAGCAGCTGAAGAGCTCTATTCATTCTCAAACACTACACAAAACACAAGCCCCTGAATTGCATTGGCTGTTTCTAAACTGTCCCCTCAACTGCATATTGAAGATGCATATGGACTATTAAAGGGACTATGGTGCTTCAATTCACAATCCTGCAGAGAAAAATCTGGGCTCCTGTCTAACAGATAGGACTGTACTGAGTACCATAGCTGTGTAAACAGATTTAATAGATGCATTTCATCTGCATCTTTAGACATCTACCTGGAGTTCAGCTTTAAAGAATAAAACGTGGTGCAATCTGTCATTATCTCACCATCTTCCAGAGCAGAATCTGCTAAACCCTCGACCCCTGATGGCCACTGGTAGTTTGGATCAGATTGGTCCTCTGCCCCACCTCCTGTATCCTCCACATTGGAAGGAAAGGGCACCTGTGTTGGCGTCTGAGCCTCATCCTCCTCCATCCCTTCTGGTTCTTCCAGCAGAACGTCAGGTTTGTGAGAGTGAACCAAGAAGTCATTGTGACTGTCATCTGCAAGGAAACACGGGGAGCTTGTCACTGCTAGGCTATGAAAAGTCTCCCTGCCCATGAGCTGATGTGCTCTATAAACCAGACAGTTGCAGAAAAGTAGACTAAGCTAATAATTCTTCTTTAGCTAAGGATTTATAGGCATGACTTTGTTTGATGAATCTATTGCAGTTTTTTTTCTCTACTTGCTAAAAATGTTTTTGCAAAATAAAATGAAACCAATGCAGCCACCACATCCATAGACTGGTAAGCTGCCATTTAGTAAGATTATGTTCTTGGGTTTAGATAACCTTTAATTGTCATGAAACTGTAAAATCAACAAAATGACTTTAATGGGGGCTTTTAAGGTACCAAGAGACACAGCCATACACAATAATTGTAGTTTTTTTAAAAACATCCAGTTTATTAAATACTGTAATAAAAATATGCAATAAAATAACTCCAATGGCATAGGTATTGCTCAAGCATGTCTCATATACATATTGTGTGAAATATTGTTGGAAACCATATAATGTACCTTCTCAGGCCACCCAAATAGAGTCCCATAGTTAATTATATATACATAAAGCAACATCCAAAGTGCATGATGAAAACATGAGTGGCCCAATCTTCAACGTATTTCACATTAGCTTCTTTAGGAAGAAATGGAGGTGATCTATGTATATAGGAAAGCCTGACAACACGACGTGAGTCTTCTAACTCCACTCACCATTCCCTGAACTCTCTCCTCTATACAGTTTCCCTGCTAAATTTAGACACAATTGTCCAGAGGTGGTCAGAGGATTGAAACAAAATAAGGAAAAAGTGATCACAGCTTGTAAACACTGAGGCTTAGCACTGCCCCACACACCCTTTATTGCCCTAGGCACTGACCAACAAGTGCCATTATGGCAAATACAGTCCTGCCTCTCGCATTTTCTGCTTTTGAAAGCTCTGCATAGAAGCACATGCAATTAAGCTCAAACAGGGAACTACAATGCACAGATACATGAAAACAGGAAGCTGTTGTATCCCCCAATTGTGATGTTGAGCCTCTGATTGAAAGAATGGTAATCCAATAAAAGAAAGAGGTGGGCCAAGGACAGTCAAGCTGGGAGCATAGAGCTAGACACTTGATTTCCTCCAGCCAGCAAATGTAGCAGGCTCTAGCTCACTTGCTGCAGCTTCTTAAGCACATTGAGAGAAGCTCACAATGTTCAGTAAAATCAGAGTAAGCAATTTCAGTCCAGGAGAGGAGCCGGTACAACCATTCAAGACTGAAGAGAAGGCTGGAGATCAGCTTTAAAGACTACAAAAAATAAAGTTAACACACTAATGCAATCCACAGCATTACAAATCTTATGAAGGCTTGAAAACAATTACATCCAAAAATGAAGGTCTCCAAAGGTGTGCTTGGTGAATGAGGTCTGAAAACAAACAGAGAAGAATATATATAACTTACCTGCTGAGATATCCTCACTGTTGCTTCTTATGCCCACAGTATCCTGTAGCACCGAACTGTAAGACCAAGGAACACCAAGGTGATATGTCAGGACAAATCATTGATTTTACTTTGAAAGTATCAGACCATATAGATTAGGAGATGGGCAATGTCTACAAAATAACCAACTGCTATCAAGGAACCAGTGTGACATCCGAACAGAATTTAGTCACAACAACTTCAGCTAAACATTTTTTTTTACATTTTGGATAGAGTGGGGGAAGTGTTAAACCCAGTCAGGTTTTCATTGCTTCCAAGTAGAGGAACTGAGGCACTAAACCCATTTATTTGATTTGTAGGTGAAAAAAGTCTTTCTTTAGGCTCAGAGTGCCTGGGTTCAGATCGCCACAATGTAGGTTTCCCGCCAATATAGAGGTCACCTGACTTGGGAAGTATTACTCATGAACTAGGAGTACTGTAGTGTAATTCTTATAAAGACATTGATTCTGGAATTGATGATCACATTTATCATATCTCTTCTGTTTATCTTGCATGTTCAGTATATCATTTTTTTCTGTTGTGTCTTTCTGTAGCCCTGCAAATTGTTCATAAATAGATCCTTTGGAGTCACGGTTCTGGAACAAGTATCTAGATCTAGTATCTGGAAGGTTAAACTAAAACCATCTGCATATTTATTCATGTTACCGGATTAACACTTGAGGAAAAAGGTCAACATAGCAGCCAATGAAATAGCATCTGCAAAATGACAAATCAGCAATGGCTGCCTCCATGTTTCTCTTGTTTGCCCATTGATGATATAACATATATAGATAAATGTGTTTGGACTTTTAAATCTGCTTTCTTCTTCTCAGGCACCATTAGCGTGACATCCACTAGACACTGTTATATTTGTAGAAAGTGCCATGGAGAATTCAGATTGAATCTTGATTCATCTGACATATCTGGGACATTCTCGGTTATACCATATTTCAGATCCGTGCAACAGTCAGAATTCCTCCTTTTCACTTCCGGAGGTTTCTGAGTAGGTTGGAAAATCTTTGGGTACTACAAGCAACAGCTCCTTTTCTTCATAGAAAAGGTAAAAGTCCTTTCATCGCACCTACGCTGAGGTCAGGTAATTGAGACAGAAAAGGCTGGTAGGTTCAGCAGCTTTGATGTGAACATGCAGAACTGTTTATGCTGCATTGTTATCAAGTACAGATCTCTCACAGGCAGCTAATTTTACAGAGCTTTCAAGCTTACCCGACAGATGGCATCCTTGTATGGACCAGGCCCTGAGTGACACGTTTGATTGAAGCAGAAGGGTTTTTCATTGCAGTTTTGGTGGCTTCTTCCAGCAGCTCCTTCCACCTGGGTAAAAACCACACAGTAGTAAGATAAACATATTAGACAACAGTAAGGACTTGCTCGCGGTATACTGAGACCGCCGCAGCTGGGATTACTGTCTAGATCCACCCAGCTGCGTGATTGACAGCTGGCGCTGCCTATCTAGAGGCAGAGCCAGCTGTACCCGCCCCCTCCCCTGTCCGTTCCTCCACTCAGCGCTGGAGGATCGGAGTGGGGAAGGGGGGAATCCCTGCAGGGAGTCGTGCGTGACAGTCATGGCTCCCTGCAGGGACAGGATTGAGAGGTGAGCGAGCGATGGTATGTGTTCGCTCACTTCCCAATCTATTGAGCCGATCTATGACAGTTTCATTGCCACGCGTCGGCTCGAACTATGAGGTTGAGTGAAAATCACTCACCTCATAGTTCTCCTTTAAGGTGTGCTACGCTGCAGCTTTGAGAATCCCTTGCAATTAACTGGACCAAAAACGGCAATGCATCAAAGCTTTTAAGTTTAATTGGCTTATATTTTGGTTTAGGTCGCTCCTCCTCCCTACTCACCAACATGCTAATTAAATTTGTATTTATTACATGTTTTTCTAAAGAGCCAACATTTACACAGCGCTTTACATATTGTACACTCACATCAGTCCCTGCCCTCAAGGGGCTTACAATCTAAGGTCCCTATCTCATAAGCATACATACACATATAAGTGCCAATTAATCCACCAGCATATTGTGGAGGGAGGAAACTGAAGTGTGCAGAGAAAAGCCACAAACGCACAGGGAGGACATGCAACCTCCATGCAGATAGTGTCCTGGCTGGAAATTAAACCAAGGCCCCTAGTACTGCAAGGCACAAGTGCTGCCCATGTCATCAATGAGTCTTTGTGCATCTCCATGCAATGCAGGCAGATCATGGCTGGTGTGAGGGGCTGGCTGGGTGCTATACATAGCTTCCTGAAAACATTGCAGCACCCTTCCTCATTGGGTAACCCCACTGCAAGGGTTAAGAATAATTATGCCCAGAGTTCTTCTTTAACCCCTTCGTGACGGGAGAACCATTAACATTTACGGATGTCATTACTGCATAATATTTTTATTAGACTACTTTTAAACAGGTAGCTTTTTATTGAGTTCACAGTGACAACACTGTAGAAGCTCTGTGTTGTGCTACAGTATCCTACTTATTGTTAGATTAAAAAGCAACATTAATAGTGAATATTAATGGAGATAATAGGCAACCATTGTGATAAGCAAAATTACATTAGCCTTCTTTTACTGACTAACTACTCTATCGATCTATCTTTTGGTAAAAATTAGTAAGTGGTGATTTGCTCTTGCTGCAGAGGTTAACTGCATTGCATGATTCCCAATGAACCCCAATTAATCATTTTCTTCATATGGTTTCTCAGCTGATCTCTGATGTGTAGCCAAGTGGGAACCTGTTGTTTCTTTCATATTCTTAATCAATTTCTTCATCTCTAATAAAGATGTGCGGGGGCTTGGTGCACACCCAGTTCAGCGGAGCTCACCCAAGTGTGTGAAGAATTGTGACCGACCCCCCCCGGACCAATCAGTTGTGGCATGGGCATTTCCCACCACTCTGTGTTGTGTGGATGTAGGGCAGGGAATGTCCTGGCTGCAACTGATTGAGCGGGCATGGGGGGCTATCAGTGACAGCTTTGTGCGGGTTTGGACACACTGCGGCAAACTGGGTTCACACCAAGTCCCTGCACATTAGTGATCTTTACCTGACCCCGTTCTATTGCAGGACTTACATATTCTTCTCAGACGATGTCATTGCTACAAGCTCGTAGATCTGCGGGCCCAGTTCCGATGTGCAGATAATAAAGAACGCCCTCTTGTCTGTAAATAAAACAAAAAATGCCAGGATATGTGAAATACAACATACTAAAACCCCATATTACCACATGAAAAGGCAGTTGAATATTGAAAGTACAAATCACACACCCAGCTCCAAGACAAGACTAGAGAAAAATTCAAAAGTTAGGAGGCAGCTGTCATTTGTAAGGAGCACACAGAGCTCATGTTATTTGTACATCTCTGTTTTAATGTATGATTTTGTTTTTATAAACATAAAAGGGATGCACCGATACCATTTTTGCAAGTACAAGTACTGATACTTGCCCAAGTACTTACAAGTACCGATACATTTTTGTTTATGGTCACGTGTTACATATTTTCTAAAACAATATCGCCTAATAATTTCAGGACAGTGGTGGAGCATCAGAGCCAGGTCCCAGCTGCAACCTCTGCAACCCTGGAAGATGAAAATGCCAAATATCGGCACTGTTTATCTGAAAAGTATTGGTGCATCCCTACCTGCAACGTACCCAAGCAGGGGAACTGTGATGTGGAAGGAGAAGTGGAGGTCTCTCTCTCTGCATTTGAATACAATGGTCCTATGATCTGCTTTCTTTTGTTGTGTTAAAATGAAAATGTTTTGCTATATCTGTTCTATAAGTACAAAAAAATACCTGTTGATCCTGCTAGAAATCCTGCAAGCTGATAACTTATCAGTTATCATTGTTCCTAGTTTTCTTTGTGGTCCACAGAACACCTGGAGAGGAGGTGGTGGTTTTCTGTAGTCCTAAACCACTTCATGTCCTAGGGTGACAAAGCTGCTCCTCCATAAATATTGTATGGTGAGTGAAAGTTGCTACCCCGGACAGTAAGTGTGTTACTGGAAGGATCACCAGATATAAATAAAGGAAACATAAAGCCTGAAAAAAGTAATTTATGGACTGGGAAGCTGAAATATTTTTACAATATTGTTTTTTGATTTACAGGCATAGACAAAGCACATGTTGACTTCAGAAAAATAATGTTTATTCTACTGGCATTTCCCAAGGGTCTGCTTTGCTTCCTAAAGCTATAAGTGGCCACCAGCTATGGAGCTGCCATCTATGCAACCTTACCTGTGGCTACAGGTCGCACCAGCACAGAATTCAGTTTGATCACTGGGCTAAAAGTCTGCTTGGTGTCGGAGGAAACCACTGTGGCTTTACTGTGACATTTAAGCACTAGCTTCTCATCTTGTTTCTGCAGTAGAACCAGGAGATCTTCCAAGAGGAGAACATTGAGATCTGTGAGAACAAGAAAAGACCATGATATATACGATACAAAAAAATTACAACAGCTGTTTTAAAGGACCGTTTCCACTATTCCTTTATTAATGCCCCCTACCCCCTATATTGAGCTTGAAAATATATTTTATAAACAGTTCATTTTGTTTTTGTCAAAACCCTAATAATGTCAAAGATTCAATTTTGCACAATCTCCTAACCCTAAAATGTCATGCCCTCTATCATTTCAAATTATCTCGAATTCACAGTTTTTAAACTATACCAGAACCTTATGATGTCCTAAAGATCTCTAAGCATAGGTTTCCATGGACAGGTATAGGTATCCATGAACAGCAGATGGTGGTCATCGAAAATGGCTGCATCAGATGATCTGTCTATGACATCCCCATTATTTCATCGAGTATTAAGGGATCAGACAGATTATAAAGCCTTGTGTCTAATGGCTAATATTTCTCCTAAAAGAAGCTGAAGTTGGGGATAACTGCTAATACCTCCTCCACACTTCTCCATAGGCATAACCATGAACATTTGCCTGAACTAAGCATGCAAGTTTATGGTAAAAGAGTTACCTGGGGTTAATCAAATCAGACCTGCATAGCTGACCGTCCTATGTCTATAGGCACAACATACAATATAGATCTCATACCGATGGTCTTATCTTTTGTGATCCTCCAGGTTAGAGAGCCCTCATGGATCATTCTCCTTGTTGTCAAATCCAAGTTCTGTAAACAAAAAAGCAGATGGTTATTCTTACCATACATGTAAACTTGAATGATAAGGGTCGCCACTCAACCCGGAAGAGTTTAACAGCGGAAAGTGGAGAAGGAAAGGACAATGTTAGAGCATGGCCACATTTGTTTTTTAATGGGCTACAATGCATCTACAAAATCTATGA